AAGCTTGAGTAGCTAGCCCACATGTGTCTGATTGGGGTTTCAACTACACTTTGCAGGAAACCGGCTCTCCAGGACTGAGTTTGGACTATGTGTAATCATTCAAAAGCAGGTGGTTGATAAGATTTTTATGGTGACGCTTCACTATAAGGTTGCATTAATGTGTTTATTAACATGAGTAAGCAATAAGCAATACATTTATTGCAGTATTTGTTCATGTTAGTTAATGGAAACAAAGTCATTCGTTGTCATTTCATCTTAACTCAGTGCATTAACTAAGCATGAGTTAGCATTTTAATGATGCATTAGGAAATGTTGAACTTTGATGTTTGATTAATTTTTAGTGCATATTAGTAAATAAATAAACCTTTCATTAAACCTTATTGTAAAGTGTGACCTTTTTATTTGATCGAATCTACTAACTTGTATCCGATCTCCGCACAGGCTTGCTTGGCCAGGTTGTCATTAAATCCATCTGAACAGACATTTTTCCAATTAGCGCTCACATTTGAGTACTTCTGAAGGAGGAAATTAGGTCCGTACAGACGATCTACAGAAACAAGACACAGTTCAGATATCGTATTATTGGGTTTAGCAAAGAACGCATCATCAAACATGATCACAGGAAATGATCTCACAGCATTGAGCTTCATCTTCTCCTGACGGACAGTCCACCGTACCGTCACACCACAGCGACACACTGACACACTTTTTATCTGCTTCACACATCCGTCCTTGCAAACACGCAAACAACCCTATAATACAGATGGAGAACATGTTTATTTATTTATTTATTTATTTATTTATTTTAATGCAGTATCATCAGCTTAGGCTATATTAATGTCAAAACCTATACAAACACATCTATAATACACAGAGAATATTCATTCTCTCATTCATTCATTCATTCATTCATTCATTCATTTTTAATGCCATATCAGCAGCATTGGTTATATTCATAGCAAAACCTATACAAACACACCTATAATACACATAGAGAACATGTTTGTTTGTTTGTTTGTTTATTTGTTTATTCATTTACTCATTTACTTCATTTATTCATTCATTCATTTTAATGCCACATAAGCAGCATTAGCTATATTCATGGCAAAACCTATACAAACACACCTATAATACACAGAGAACATGTTTGTTTGTTTGTTTATTTGTTTATTCATTTACTTCATTTATTCATTCATTCATTTTAATGCCACATAAGCAGCATTAGCTATATTCATGGCAAAACCTATACAAACACACCTATATTACACAGAGAACATGTTTGTTTGTTTGTTTATTTGTTTATTCATTTACTTCATTTATTCATTCATTCATTTTAATGACACATAAGCAGCATTAGCTATATTCATGGCAAAACCTATACAAACACACCTATAATACACAGAGAACATGTCAGTTATTTTATTTATCTATTCATTCATTCATTTATTCATTCATTCATTCTTTCAGTCAGTCACTCTATTTATTCAGTCATTAATTTTTTATGCCTTATCAGCAGCATTGGCTATATTCATGGCAAAACCTATACAAGCACACATAATACACATAAAAACATGTTTGCTTATTTATTTATTTATTTTTTCATATATTTATTCACTTATTCATTTTGATGCCATAGCATCAGCACTGGCTATATATTAATGGCTAAACTTATACAAACACATTTATAATACACATAGAAAACATGTTAGTTTGTTTGTTCATTCATTTATTAAGCCATTAATTCATTTAATTCACAGCAGCATTGACTATATTCATGGCAAAATCTATATAAACCTACAAACCTATAAAAACCTATAATACACAGAGAACATGTTTGTTCATTTGTTCATTCGTTCGTTCGTTCGTTCGTTCGTTCGTTCATTCATTCATTCATTCATTCATTCATTCATTCATTCAGCCATCCAACCATCCTTTCATTATATTAAGCTGTAATTCATTATTAATGCCATATCAGCAGCATTGTCTTTATTCGTGGCAAAACCAATACAAACACACTTATAATACACATAGAGAGCATGTTTGTTTATTTATTTTGTATTTATTAATTTTTGTATTCATTTACTTATTTACTCATTTTAATGCCATAGCATCAGCGCTGGCTATTCATAGCTAAACCTATACAAACACATTTATAATACACATAGAGAACATGTTAGTTAGTTAGTTCATTCATTCATTCATTCATTCACTCCATTTATTCATTCATTAATTTTTATTGCCTTAGCAGCATTGGCTATATTCATGGCGAAACCTACACAAACACACCTATAATACACAGAGAACATGTTTGTTTATTTGTTCATTCATTCACTCATTCAATTATTCATTCATTCATTCATTAATAATTTGTTTTAATGCCATATTAGCAGCATTGGCTATATTCATGACAAAACCTATACAAACACACCTATAATACACAGAGAAAATGTGTGTTTATTTGTTCATTCATTCAATTATTTTAATGACATAGCAGCATTGGCTATATTTATGTCAAAATCTTTACAAACACACCCATAATACACAAAGAACATGTTTGTTTATTTGTTCATTCATTCACTTATTCATTCATTTATTTACAGTATTAATAATTTGTTTTAATGCCATATTAGCAGGATTAGCTATATTCATGACAAAAACTATACAAACATACCTATAATACACACAGAGAATGTTTATTTGTTCATTCATTCATTCATTCATTCATTCATTCATTCATTCATTCATTCATTCATTCATTCATTCATTCATTCACTCATTTATTCACTCATTCATTCATTCTTAATACCATATCAGCAGCATTGGTTTTATTCATGGCAAAACCTATACAAGCACACTTATAATACACATAGAGAGCATGTTTATTTATTTATTTATTTATTTTTTTCATTCATTCACTTATTACTTTATTTTAATGCTATGTTATGAGCATTGGCTATATTCATGTCTAAACCTATACACACACAAATTTATAATACACATAGAGAACATGCTTGTTCATTTATTCATTCATTCATTCATTCATTCATTCATTCATTCATTCATTCATTAATCCATTCATTCATTCATTCATTCATTCATTTATTCACTCAATTTATTTATTCATTCATTTATTTTTTTGTGACATTAGCAGAATTGGCTATATTCCTGGCTCAACCTATACAAACGCATTTATGATTTATAAATGTGTATAATTTATAAATGTGTATAATTTATATATATATACCCCTTTCAGTAGATATGAGTGTCTTGAGTAGCTGATCTTGTATTTACAACCTGATCATGTATGTTTTCATTCATTCATTCATTTTCCTTCGTCTTAGTTCCTTTATTTATCAGTGGTCACCACATTGGAATGAACCACAAACTATTCCAGCATATATTTTACACAGCGGAAGCCTTTCCAGCAGCAACCCAGTACTGGGAAAAACCCATACACTCTCACATTTACACATGCACTTATACACTATGTGCCCATTTAGTTTATTCAATTCACCTATAGTGCAGTTCTTTGGACTGTGGGGGAAACAGGAGCAAACCCACGCGAGCATGGGGAGAACATGCAAACTCCACACCGAAATGTCAACTGACCCAGCAGAGACTTAAACTAGCAACCTTCTTGCTGTGAGGTGGCAGTGCTAACCACTGAGCCACCGTGCCATCATGTCTGTCTTCAAAACGGTAATTATTTCATTCATTTACCAACGGATTCCCTTCATGCGATTTGTTGTTTCTACCTTTTTCCCATTCAGTTTAGATAGAGAACAAAGATAAAGCTGGATGCATGTGTGTTTAGGACAATCAGTGAATGAGTTTCTTACCATAAAACCAAAGCACCGCAACTACGACTCCAGCAATGACCAGCAGTGTGACGACTGTGCCCACAATATATGGCCATTTTTTTCTCCTGGAAACTGTTGGAGAATCAAAGATCATGCAATCAAAAATCTGAAAATGTCAATATCTTAAAAGGATATAAGGCAAAATATAGAATATGTACATCTAAACATCCCACTCGGAAGTGAGAACGTCATATGGGTGTTTGTTGTGGAAATATACAGGCAGCTGTATACAGTATATACACAAACCATTTGGAGCAAGCCAGAGGTCAGAGCAAGTCTACAGTTAATGATTTGCTGACTCAAATGATCCATTAAAAGCAAGTCTTCAGTCAACGACTCAATGATTCAAATGATCTATTTGGAGACAGTCTCCAGTTATTGATTCAAATGATTCCAATTGGAGTAAGCCTACAGTCAATGACTCACTGATTCAAAAGATCGGTTTGGACTGACCTCCAAGTCAGTGACTCACAAATTCAAATGATCCTCTTGAAGTGAGTCTACAGTCAATGACTCACTGATACAAATGATCCGTTTGGACTGACCCCCAAGTCAGTGACTCACTAATTCAAATGATTCATCTAGAGTGAATCTCCAGTTAACAAATTATTGCTCGATTCAGAAAGTACCATTCAGAGCAAGTCTACAGTCAATGACTTGATGATTCAAATGATCCATTCTGAGTGAATGTACAGTAAACTACTCACTGATTCAAAGTAACTGTTCAGAAAAAGCTCAAAGTAGACGATTCACTGATTCAAAAGATTCATTTAGAGCAAGTCTACAGTCAGCGACTCACTGATTCAAATGATCCTTTCAGAGTAAGTCTACAGTCAATGACTCAATGATTTAAATGATCCATTCAGAGTGAATCTACAGTAAGCTACTCGCTGATTTGAAGTATCTGTTCAGAAAAGGCCTAAAATTAATGACTCACTCATTTAAAAGATCCATTCAGAGCAAGTCTAGTGTCAATCACTCACTGATTCTAATGATCCCACTAAGAAAAGGTCTACAGTCAACGATTTAAACAATCTGTTCAGAATAAGTTCAAAGTCAATGACTCATTCATTCAAATGATCCATTCAGAACAAGTCTAAAGTAAACGACTCACAAATACTAATTATTAATTAAGGGTGAATCTACAGTAAACGATTCACTGATCTGTTCTTAACAAATCCAATGTTAATGACTCACTGATTCAAATTATCCATTCAGGGAAGTCTACAGTCAGTGACTCGCTGATTCAAATGATCAATTCAGAGCCCATCTACAGTCAATGACTCAAGTGATTCAAACAATCAGGTTAGAAAATGTCCAACGTTAATGACTTGCTTATTCAAATGATCTAATCAGAGTGAACCAACAGTAAACGACTCACTGATTCAAATGACCTGTTCTAAACAAATTTAATGTTAATGACTCACTGATTCAAACAATCTGTTCAGAACAAGTCCAAAGTTACTAATTCATTTATTTAAATGATCCAATCAGAGTGAGTCTTGTGGAAATGAATCACAGATTCAAATGACATGTTCAGAACAAAGCCAATGTTAATGATGCATTGATTCAAGTGAACCATTTAGGGTAACTATACAGTCAGTCAATCACTGATTCAAATGATTCATTTAAAGCAAGTCTACAGTTAACGACTCACTGATTTAAATTATCAATTCGAAGGGAATCTACAGAAAATAGCTCACTGATTCAAATGATTATTTCAAAATAAGTCTACAGTAAACGACTCACTGATTCAAATGATTATTTCAAAGTAAATCTACAGTAAACGACTCACTGATTCAAATGATTATTTCAAAGTAAATTTACAGTAAATGACTCACTGATTCAAATGACCTGTTCTAAACAAACCCAATGTTAATGACTCACTGATTCAAATTATCCATTCAGAACAAGTATATAGTTACTGAGTCACTTATTCAAATGATCCAATTACAGTGAATCTAAAGGAAAGCACTCACTGATTCAAATGACCTGTTCTAAACAAACCCAATGTTAATGACTCATTGATTCAAATAATCCATTCAGAACAAGTACATAGTTACTGACTCACTTATTCAAATGATCCAATTAGAGTGAATCTAAAGGAAAGCACTCACTGATTCAAATGATCTGTTCAGAACAAGTCCAATGTAAATGTCTCACTGATTCAAATTATCTATTCAGAACAAGTCTAATGTAAATGACTCATTGATTCAAACGATCTATTCAGAGCAAGTCTACAGTTAACAACTCACTGATTCAAACAATCTGTTCAGAACAAGTCCAAAGTTAATGACTCACTTGTTCAAATGATCCATTCAGAATAAATCTACAGTAAATGACTCACTGATTCAAACAATCTGTTCAGAACAAGTCCAATGTTAATGACTCACTTATTCAAATGATCCATTCAGAGCTAAAGCACAGTCAATTGCTCCCTGATTCAAATGAATTAGTCTATACAGTATCTAATTCAGCCCACAACCAAATAAATCAATAAAGCAGCATGAAATACCTTTGTGGACTGGATTGGTGTCCAGGTAGATTGTAGGTGTGACTGTATGGTGAGTGTTAATAAGTGCTGGTTGAGGTGTGTAGTGAGGCAGGCTGTGCGCAGGTGAGTATTTCTGTGAAGGGTAAAGCACATGGGGATTTTGGGGCAGATGCTGTGTGTTTGGAGGGGCGGGGTACTGAGATAAAGCCGGGTTTACTCCAGAAGACGGTGCATATGGAGGCGGCCGCTGCTCCTCATCATGGAAACCGTAGTTCACGTGAGAGACATTGTCGTAGGTCTGAAAATAAATAAAATCAATCAGTTTTTTTCAAAAGACATTTAAAACATAATTTTGCTTCCATGATATAGCATGAATTTGATCTGGAAAAATAAAACATACTTCAGAAAGCGACTGAATTGTGACATTTTTATAGAGAATTTTGACCAAAGACCTTTTTAGGCTACATTGTTTTACAGTATGACTAATGATAAGTATGTACAAACTGTTCCAGGAAATGACTGCATAGTAAATAAGCTTTCCAATTTCCAATCATAAGACTCGCTCTAACTGTAAATATAATTAATGATATCGTCTGATTAATATATTAGTAATTATCAACAGTCCAAATGTCCACTTGGCAATGAATATTAGATAGTGTATTTATGTTTAGTGTTGAATATAATGTAATAAGAACAGTAACAATACAATATATTGTTGGTATTATTACTACTATGATGATGATGGCAGTAACTATATACAATATAAATATATTATTAACAAATTTAACTGCAGAATAAAAAAAATTACAACAATAACAGCAATGCATAATAATAAGATACAATATATTTCTTATTATGAACATAACATTATTATAAATTATAAATATACAATGCAGGCAGCGCAGTAGGTAGTGCTGTTGCCCCACAGCAATAAGGTTAATGGTTCGAGCTTGCTCAGTTGGCATTTCTGTGTGGAGTTTGCATGTTCTTCCTGCGTTCATGTGGGTTTCCTCCGGGTGCTCTGGTTTCCCCCACAGTCCAAAGACTTGTGGTACAGGTGAATTGGGTAGGCTAAATTGTCCGTAGTGTATGTGTGTGAATGAGTGTGTGTGGATGTTTCCCAGAGATGGGTTGCGGCTGGAAGGGCATCCACTGCGTAAAAATGTGCTGGATAAGTTGGCGGTTCATTCCGCTGTTGCGACCCTGAATTTATAAAGGGACTAAGTCGAAAAGAATAAATGAATATACATTGCATAACGATAATGATGATAATTATGTAAATGTACTATGTAATGCTATATAATAATAATAATAATAATAATATTTATAAAATTTATAATAATAATAATTATTATTAAAGTAATAAATAATAAAATATATATAAAAATAAATGTATATTTCTTATAACACACTCAAAAATGACTTTTGCTGCTTGTTTAATCTACTTATTTAAAAATGAGTTGAGAAAAACAACACAATTCTTGTTTTTCAATCATGTTTTTTTGGACAACTTAATTGATTTATGTTCAGTACACTTAAATTTGTAAAAAAAAATTTAAGTTAACTAAATCAATTTAAGTTGGGACAACATGAAGAAATTGTGTGGAATCCAGCATTTTTACAGTGTATGGCAGGAGCTAAATACTATCTACTTAAAAGGATATTAGCGAAAGATAATTGCGGAGTATAAAATACCACAAATCACAACAATTCAGGAACAAAATACTTTTTGCATAAAGAATTATAGTACAAATTCACTGTAAAAATAAAATAAAAAAAGTTGACTTGCTGCAGAGCTTTTTTGAGTTGACTCAACTTTCAACCCAATACTGCACTTGACTCAATTTAACTTGATTAAACTCAAAAATGTCTTGAAGCTGGTTGCCTTAAACTTTTAAGTTGAGTCAAGTAATTTTGACAGCGTACATATAGTTGAAGTCAGTATTAATAGCCTCCCTGAATTATTAGCCCACTTGTTTATTTTTTTCATCAATTTCTGTTTAACGTAGAGCAGATTTTTTCAACACATTTCTAAACATAATAGTTTCAATAACTCATCTCTAATAACTGATTTATTTTATTTTTGCCATGATGACAGTAAATAATATTTGACTAGATATTTTTCAAGACACTTCTATACAGCTTAGTCACATTTAAAGGCTTAACTAGGTTAATTAGGTTAACTAGGCAGATTAGGGTAATTAGGCAAGTTATTGTATAACGATTGTTTGTTCTGTAGAATATTGAAAACAAAATTAGCTTAAAGGGGCTAATAATTTTGACTTTAAAATGGGTTTTAAAAAATTTAGAACTGCATTTATTCGAGCCAAAATAAAACATATAAGACTTTCTTTAGAAGAAAAAATATTATCAGACATACTGTGAAAATTTCCTTGCTTTGTTAAACATCATTTGGGAAATATTTTAAAAGAAAAGAAAATTTAAAGGGGGGCTAATAATTCTGACTTCAACTGTATATCATTTCCCACTATGAAATATTAATATTTTGAAAATTATTTTACTGTTACGATGTTATTATTATTTTTATTATTACTTAATATTATTTTTGTGATCATTTAAAATATTTAGTAATCAATATTGTTCATTTACAAAGTTCCTCTTTTAGAACTAAAGACGTTAAACAGCCTATTTTCTTTTTTATTTTATTGCTAAGCATGAATTCAGGAACAAAAGTTAAATTTCCAGAACTAACTTTTAAGATAATACTTCCTCATGAAATATCTCTCTTTTATTTAAATGTACATCAATAATACCACAGTAAACGATCATCCAAAAGTCAGACTACATTTATTATGTTGCTAATGCAAACATGGACTTCACCTATATACTATATAACTGCAGGTTAACTTATACACTCACCGGCCATTTTATTAGGTACACCTGTCCAACTGCTCGTTAACACAAATTTCTGATCAGCCAATCACATGGCAGCAACTCAATGCATTTAGGCATATAGACATGGTCGAGACGATCTGCTGCAGTTCAAACATCTGAGCATCAGAATGGGGAAGAAAGAGGATTTAAGTGACTTTGAAGGTGGCATGGTTGTTGGTGCCAGACGGGCTGGTCTGACTATTTCAGAAACTGCTAATCTACTGGGATTTTCACGCACAACCATCTCTAGGGTTTATAGAGAAAAAGTGAAAATATCCAGTGAGCGGCAGTTCTGTGGGCACAAATGCCTTGTTTTATGCCAGAGGTCAGAGGAGAATGGCCAGACTGGTTCCAGCTGATATAAATGCAACAGTAACTCAAATAACCACTCGTTACAAATGATGCATGCAGTAGAGCATCTCTGAACACACAACCCGTCCAACCTTGAGGAGGATGGGCTACAGCAGCAGAAGACCACACCGGGTGCCACTCCTGTCAGCTAAGAACAGGAAACTGAGGCTACAATTCACACAGGCTCACCAAAATTAAACAATAAAAGACTGGAAAAACGTTGCCTGGTCTGATGAGTCTCGATTTCTACTGCGACATTCGGATGGTCGGGTCAAAATTTGGCATCAACACCATGAAAGCATGCATCCATATGTCTTGTATCTACGGTTGAGGCTGGTGGTGGTGTAAAGGTGTGGGTGATATTTTTTCAGCACACTTAGTACCAACTGAGCAACGCGTCAATGCCAAAGCCTACCTGAGTAATATTGCTGATTATGTCCATCCCTTTATGACCACTGTGTACCCATCTGAACATGACAATGAGTTCACTGTACTCAAATGGCCTGGTCACCAGACCTCAATCCACCTTTGGGATGTGGTAGAATGGGAGATTGGCATCATGGATGTGCAGCCGACACATCTACAGCAATTGCGTGTGCTATCATGTCAATATGGAGTAAAATCTCTGAGGAATATTTGCAGTACCTTGTTGAATCTATGTCATGAAGGATTAAGGCAGTTCTGAAGGCAAAAGGGAGTCCAACCCGATACTAGTAAAGTGTACCTAATAAAGTGACCGGTGATTGTTCATAATAACTTTAACTGCTATAAGCAAATTGTTACTAGTAAATCAGTTAAAGTTATTAGCAACTAATAAAGCTATGGTAACTAATAACCTTAACTTTTCCAAATTATGCTAATGTGCACCTTTTGTTAAGCTCCTTTAAAACAATATATTAGTGAAAAGCGCTACACAAATACACTTGAATTGAATTGACTAATGCGTTTTAATAGTAAACTTACAGCACTTATTTTCATGGCCCTCAAAATGAGTCGCCTTTTTTTAAAGATCAAACCACATGAATCATTCATTAAATCCTCAGTTTGTCGTTCGCAGGAAAGTTAATGCTTTACAAATATGAGCTGGCTGACATCAAATAAAACCAATCTCAGTCATATGACTGGTGTCTAAAACATGAGCCAGAAGACGATGACAAACATGATCAGACAGTAATTAAAAACAAAAAAACAAAAAAAAACTATATTATGCCACTACCGTTTCAGTTCTGTTCATCTTTATCCTTTGGTTTCGTGTGAAGTTTTGTCAGTCGAAACTCAAACTATGACCTGCTGACTGAACACACAGCAGAACAAATATTGATTAGTACCATGAAATCACTCCTATAGACTAAAACGTATGACTGATTTGAATAATGAAGCCTAAAACTTACCGGACAGAAGGTTTCTGGTTGTGTTTGCGTCTCTCTGTCACTCTGTGTATGTGTGCATGTGTGTGTGTGTGTGTGTGTAATGAATAGCCAACACCACACCTTT